AGACAGAGAGAGAGAGAGAGAGAGAGAGAGAGAGAGAGAGAGAGAGAGAGAGAGAGAGAGAGAGAGACATAATGACTGACAGACTGGCAGAGGTTTAAAGAACAAACAAAAAATCGAGGGCGTAATTGCCACTTCAACCCCCTTTCATTTTTTCGTTCCTGGAAATGACTAAAAATGTTAATATGATTTATAATAATTTGAACTGTCCCCGTAGAATTATGCCAATTTAGATAACCAAATTATGCGAGAAAAAAGCAAAATTATGCAAAAATTATGCAAGTTACCGTAACGCCATTCGCGACATGTTTTGCCCTTTTTCAAGAAGAATTTTCATTTTTTATGTACAGAAAAATTGAAATCAGAACATATCAGTATCAGTAATCTGTTGTGTACTTGAAAAGAAAACAATATGCATCAGTTTTAAAAAACCCAGAAAACCAAAAAATATACTCTCTATAACTTTCAGCAGTAGATCTAGAATCTATAGAAGAAAGAAAAATGTACAACAACAACAACAACAAACAAAAAAAAAAAAAAAGAAGACATCTGGACAGCTGATGCTGGCACATCACAAACCAGGGACACGTGTCAAACACGAAACATCAGCAGACAGGAGACCAACTTTTGATGGATTGAAAAAGTGAAAATGCTCAAGGCTCAAGGAACTTAAAATCCCTCACACATTACAATTTGGCCATCCAAGATCTTTTAACAAGAGAAATAACCAACTTATCACTTAAATGAGACTTATTACGGTGATCACTTCCCTTTAATCAACCGGGGAGGAGCTAATTAATAAATATGGTAAAAAAATATGACCCCCCCCCCCCCAAAAAAAAAAAAAAAGTAAAAAAAAGTGGGGAATCCAAAATTATGCAAATGTTGCAGAATTACGCGAAAAAATGCGGCCCGCGGCCGCACAATCGCATAATCCTACGGGAACAGTTTGAAGTGTCCGGTAACAAAGGAGTTAAATCTAAACCTAGACAGTAGCGGTGGGTGAACCAAGATGTGGGTGGGGCTTAGGTTTCTTCCACTTCTTTACCACCAAAAAGCAAACAATAGGAACAAAACAGTGATGATTCTTCTATACTCACGGCGAGCCACGGCATTTTGAGAACCAATCAAACGAAAAGAATCACCTTTGTCTTCCATCTCTTTGTTCTACGTTATATTCTTCTAGATGGTGGGGACGAAGCCGTTTCACCTCCAAATTTCTCTAATTAGTTTTAATTTGATGAAAAAGTTGCCGCAAAAATGGTTTGATGTAATTAATAACTGTTAAATCTCACCGGCACAAACACACAGCAATCCAAACACACACCATCTATGAGGTGGATTAGGTCGTGTTGTTGCAGAAAATAAAACGCGCCTGACAAAGGCCCAATGGGCGCATAGGTATCTGTGTCACTGGGGGGAAAGTGTGTCGTAAACTTTCGCCTCAGAAATAGCCTCCTCACCCCTCTCGGGCCACTCCATAAGCAATCGCAAGCTTTGATTAAGTAAGCTTAAAGTGAGTCTGGAAGAGTCTACCAATAGATTTGAAGGGAACATGTACATAGCAGTCCAAGCTGTTTCATTGCCACATATACCCTGTTCACCCCTTTGGGGCCACAGTTAAAATTAATCTCAAGCCCTGATTATGTATGCTAACTAACGCTGGTCGAGTCTACCTCACAAATGTGAGGGGAACTAACTCCTAATAATCTCTTGACTGCTGCGTGTGCTTGTTTTTTTTCCTCGACTTTTTACCGTCCTATAATCAGATCGTGACCTCAATTATGACACCAGCTCCTGGCCGCGAAAGGCTAACAAAAACAGCCAAATGTGAAATTTTAAAAATGATAATTGTCATGTTTTACCAAAGAGTTAGACTTACTGGTAAATCTATAACATATAGATCTATAACATATAGATCTAGTACTGACATCTCTGTTTCTTTGCTTTATGTTTATGTATTCACATCTAAAGTTAAATTTAATTTTAGTTGGAACTGATATTTAATAAGATACTTTCCCGATTATTTTGGTGGTTGAACATACAATATGAATTCCGGATTTGTTTTCATTCACAACTCAGAGTCGCCGCCTCGAGTAAGATTCTTGTGTGATATCTACAGGCCATACCTGATCCCGTTTCACTTTGATTACCCTGTCAAACAAGTCAGCCTTCGCCCCTGATTGGGATAGACTTGGGGGGTGGGGAGGGGGGCTCAAGCCCGTGAGCCCTTCACTACCCACCGCCACTGCTAGATCGACTTTAAGTGGCTATTTCTTTCATCATTGACCTCACGTTAAAAAAATGTAATTCAAGGGAAACAACCATTATAATGCTGCAAACTGTCGTGCATTGACTTAACACTTTCCGAATATTAGCTTAAAGGACACTCCTGGCGATATTTTACATAAGCGAATAGTCTTGACCTTGACAAATTTCTTGCTTTTATAGTATGCAAGCTAAACATATATATAATGAAAATGAGTAGATATTTCTAGAGTCTCCTTTTCATTGAAATAGTCTTTTTTTTTCCTTCCTGATTTTCCTTCTGACATACAGCGCTCCAACAAGCCTTGTGAATTATGGGATCAGTGACAGTGAGAGTAACATCCTCGAAGGAAGGAGCAATCCCTTCTGTGGAATCTGAACTTCTTTTCATCCGCCTGTATGGTTTATGTGCACAGGCCACCCATCTACCCACCCAACTACCCACCACTCCCAACACCTTCTTTTCTCAAATTATTGACGTTTTGGTTGAAGAATTTTTAAAAAAGTTGTTAGAATACTTCTAGTTCGAAGATCTCTTTAAAACTTTCAGTATTTCTCAAAAAATAATTTTGACAGACTGCTATGCAAAGCGTGCGGATCGGATTAACAAGTAAAGTTCCTCTTTGGAAAGTGGTGGCTCAGAGTTCCCCTCGTCGTATGGATACTACAATAAAATACGACGTACGGATAGGGTTAAAAAAGAAGAACGGCCCAGCATTAAAAAAACATCAACTAACTGTTCTAGTTTAAACAATGAGTTGTGGGCTCTCGTGTCCTTCTTGTTTCCTGTCCCTCAAACATCTGTCATCCATATCACTCCTGCTTCTTATATTCTTTTCTTTGTATGTTACTATCTAATAAAATCTCAAATTTTCAACACTTATTTGACTCATTTTTGAAACCAGTGCGGCGAAACTGTTACTAAACTAAATTGAAAAGTTCATCGGAATGTAATTCCTTTGAAACAATTTAAAATATTATACTTCCTAGAACGAGACTTACCGGTTTCAGGTATAGCTGTCCGTTTCTGGTGAAGACATTCTGCTTATCATTCGTGTACACTTGGAACTCCCAGTTCTGAGGAACAAAAGCCAAAAGCAATAACAATGACAATGTGGGGGTGATGCCGTGATGGCCATCATCATCATCATCATCATCATCATCATCATCATCATCATCATCATCATCATCATCATCATCATCATCATCATCATCATCATCATCATCACGTACTGATCCACGCACAATGAGAGTGTCATTAGTATCTTGCTTTGTGTTAAGGAAATGTATGTGTGTGTGTGTGTGTGTTTGTGTGTGTGTGTGTATGTGTTCGTCTGTGTGTGTGTGTGTGTGTGTGTGTGTGTGTGTGTGTGTGTGTGTGTGTGTGTGTGTGTGTGTGTGTGTGTGTGTGTGTGTGCATATTATGTTTGTGTCTTTCAATCTGCTCGCCAAGTTTCATTCCCTCGTCAACAAGATTCCTCATTTACCATACTGTGGGTATTTAGACGGGCGCGACTGGAAGGTCCTACGTCTTTTCTCCCCCCTGCTGTTTCAGTCTATATCTCTTGCTTCTTCCTTGCACTAAATGTCAGTTACTGTGTCGATATCCTTCTCTTAATTCAAACTCAGACTCAAACTTACCATGTGGATGGTTGGCGGGTGCTCTGATGTGGTTTCCTTCTTTCCTATCAAACATATATCATCCTTATCTCCCGTCCTTCTTTTTTGTGTTTGTTACTCTCTTGTAACACCTCTAATCTTCGGCACTTATGTGATCTTATTGTGTTAGAAGTACCGTAAAACAGTTACAACCCCCCCCCAAAAAAAAAAACAACACAAAAAACAACCAAACAACGTACCATGCCTCCATACATAGAGACCTCATAGTTCCATTTGTTAGCATCGAAGCTGTTGAAGTCATCCCTGAAGATGGTTGCTGCTCGGATCTGCCTGGAAGGAAGGCGGGCCAAGTCTGTCCTCTCACCGCCTTTTCCAAAGACAGACAGATGCACTTTATCTATCTATCTATCTATCTATCTATCTATCTATCTATCTATCTATCTATCTATCTATCTATCTACACACATTGTCTCGTACATATAAGAAGAGTGGGCATATGTGTGTGCGTACTTGCATGTGTTAAGCGAATGCGATGTATGTATGTATGTATGTATGTATGTATGTATGTATGTATGTATGTATGTATGTATGTATGTATGTATGTATGTATGTATGTATGTATGTATGTATGTATGTATGTATGTATGTATGTATGTATGTATGTATGTATGTGTGTGTGTGTGTGTGTGTGTGTGTGTGTGTGTGTGTGTGTGTGTGTGTGTGTGTGTGTGTGTGTGTATGTGTGTGTGTTGTGTGCAGATCAAAACATGGCAAACATCGGTAAACTGTAAATTGCATCACAACAAATAGCAGATAAAAATCCATTTTGGAATTAAGAAAAAAGGCAGAAAAGAGCAAAGAGAGACCAGCAGTGTGGCTATGACAAAGAGGTTATAAATAGTACTATTTATAGCCGTTTGGAGTTGGTAAGGGCAAATGTTAGAACCCACATAATTGAGTTATATTCGAATTGTTTTGACATGAATTTCTTTCGGTTGCTTTTGTTTTTACTGACGAAATGGCCTTCAAACTCCCTAGCAAAGAATTCGTGGTAAAGGTCTATTTGGGGTTCCACTTCTTGAAATAAGTTAGAATGGTCATCAGAGCACGGCAAAATGGCTACCATAATTTTGGACCTGCATGAGAGTGGAGGCCCTGGAAGTGAGTTGTAGGTTAAGTAAGTTCTAAATAGAGACCTCGACTAACCGTAACCGTATTCCTAAAAGAAAACTTACTTAATTTCAAAACAGAGCGTTGCGTAGTCAAGCGCAGGTTGCCTGAAACGTCATAGATTTGAGCGTTGGCGTGCACAGCGTCTGCGCCATCCAGTTTGACGTCGCGGGTTCTGTACAGCCAGCCGTCGCCTGATCAATCAACCAATGGAAAAAAATTATAAGATGACTTACGAAAGAGAGAAAGAGAGAGAGAGAGAGAGAGAGAGAGAGAGAGAGAGAGAGAGAGAGAGAGAGAGAGAGAGAGAGAGAGAGAGAGAGAGAGAGATCTTTTTAAAAATCGTTAATAAGATATCCTAATGCCATTGATTAATTTTCTGAAGCATTTCATCTCCCAGGCACTGACATTTCTCTTGGGTGTTGTGTCTAGCTGCCACGTCTGTCATTGGTACGTCAGTGTTGGAAAGACTGTTCTGTTGATGAATAGCCTTTTCACTTCTCTTTGTACATTTTTACAGGCGAGTCAGAGTGACTCTTGCCAAGCTACTGCATTTGCTCTTTATTTATCAAAACGTTATGCTAGACGATGAAATATACGAATTTCGTATTTCTAATAGTGATAATATGCCTTATAAGCTGTGGCAATAATGTCTCCAGCGAAAGATCATGTCAGTTTGTCAGTGTTTGAGCGTTTAATCGGTTGCTAGCATTACATATTTCATTGGACTCCCATAATGTTTTTTTGGTTTTTTTTAGCTTTCTAATGTCCGCAGGGGAAATTATATCGATAAAAAATGCATAGAGCTTGAAATTGAATGGTGATATGCCCTATACAAAATAAATGCTAGTTATTATAATCATTAATTATTATTGGCAGATATAAGGAGTTCTTTAGCCGGGAGGGGGGAGGGCTTCTTTCGGAGGGAAACATTTCTTTTGCCCCTCTTTTTTCAGCAATAATTATACTCACTTGTCTGAATGCCCCGTGCCTGATACGCGACATTATTGATGACGTAATTGAAGACCACACCGCCAATTCTCTCTTGGCCAGTCGCTGTGGATGTTAAATGCAGGTTAGATTTTTAAAGAATTCTAGCTCTATTAATATCAACTGTACGACTGTTTTGTTCTTCATTTACGGTATACATCTTGAAATCTAGATAAAAGTTCAGTTGTATGACCCATATGAAGCAGAATAATTCAAACTAGATTGGTTATAGTATATGAGTTCAACACTCTGCTCTTTGGTCAAATAGGTGAATTAGCTGTCGCATCATCCCAGTGGCTAAAATAACGATTGTTTCATCTTTTAAGCCGCCTTCGACACAATTTAGATAATTTAGGAGGCGGGTTAATTTGACCCTACTTGTCAGAGCCAACTCACACTGAATAGAATTCAACTCATAATGAGCATATTTGACAAGGGGCAACATTTCGCCGAGAATACATGTGTGACGACGAGATGGAATCAGGCGCTTGTCACTTTTTGGGCATGTGGAGCTATTGGTATCATCTCAAAGCTATTTCAGTTGTCTTGCTATCAATAAAAAAATGCCCATCTATCTTGAATAGAAGTCAAGATATCTGAGATTGAAGAAGGTGGGGTTGCCTGGTTTCAAAGGTACAATAAGTGAGAAAATGGTTGCCAAAGTTTTGCGATTTCCATAGCTTGATAATCCGTGGAAATTAATAACTCACTTTTTGTGCCTTTAATCAACGTCTTTCAGTAAAAATCCACCCACAAATGTGTCCTTAATTGGGCCAAAATGGTGTTAATCCAAAAAACAAAAATTCGATAAAATTGCCTAAATGGAAGATGATAGTGCCAGTTTCTTCAACTTCATTATTTTGACGAACCCCTGATTTCACTGCGCTGCCTCACATATTATTGGAACTAAAGAGAAAGTAGCAATTAGTATAAGGTGCAGACAAGTTTAAGTTCGTCAAGAGATTATGCGCTTCACGTGGATTTACCATTGGAGTGGAGACAACATTTGAGCGTCAGCCGACCGCCCCCGTCATGGAAAAAAGAAAGAGAGAAGAAATGGTTGATCATAAATAAAGTGGATGCAAAATTTCAAACACGTATCTATGCGAAACCGGCGTCTGTGGCGTAGGCTTAGGCTCTACACCCATGCACACAAAAGACCTGAGTTCAATTCCCGGAAAGGGAAGTGTATTGGCGTTGTAGTGTAAAGTTTGACTATACGCTGTAGCACGAAGAAGACACCGAGAGGGAAGTTTGTTTGATTTTTAGTATGAATAAAGAGAAGCACATCGACTGAATAATCGTCATTTAATGCTGAAAAAATGTAAGACGGAAACAACAGAGGGAAGGTAAAGAAGTAGGACCAGCTAGTGGCGCCCTCCAGCTACCTGCAAACGGAGAGGGAAGTGTATTGATGTTACTCACTCTTTAGAACAAACCCAAGGACTGGCGCGGAGTAACGGATCTGTACCTCATAAGCACTGGCGGCGGCCACTAAGGCCAGAGATATCACCAACAACCGCATCGTCTACAACCTGCGGACAAAATACGGGAAAGGTAATTCACATGTAACTTGCTTATAGCTGAAAGAGGTGCTTGAAGGAAGGGTGCTAGTTTTAGTTTTAGTAGAGGTTTTACGGCACTCGCAACTGCGTAAGGTCATATTAGCGCCAAAGGGTGGATGTCAACAGAGAAATCCTTACAGGGGATCAGACTTACTCTGCTCACCTCTCTAACTTCAACAGCACAAGGTCTGCTTCGACTATCAAGGCACCCCGGAAATAGCGGACCACAAGAGTTTGACAAACATACAAAAGAAATAGAGGAAAAGGGCGATAGTAAGGATTAGGAAAGAATAAGCAGCAGTTCCCAGTTGTAGTTCAGGCACAGTTATGAGCATGACATTGTTGGATCAGCCCATTTACAATTCTACTGTACATTAGAACGAGAAATGACCCCCCCCCCCCTTTGGGAGTGGCCTAAAGACACCACTTCAGTCAATGGCACCGCCCCGGGCGGGGGGGGGGGGGGGTGGGGGCAGGAGATCCAAAGTTAAACAAAGAGTAACATAAATGGACAACATTAAGATATGGACCTACCTGTGTGTAGCAGAATGTGCAACGGCAGCTCGCGATCGTGAAGGCTGGAGGATCATTATAAACTAGTCAACAAAAGTTCAGGAACGTACTGTAAAAACAGTGATATATTTGTATGCATTCTTTCGAGGTTTTACTTTTACTCGTAAAACTAGATATTGGTGAAATGTTACTTTATGACTAATGGGATTGCACACACCAGGGTTTGAAGTGCACGTGACTCCTGTGCGATGAGCTGGGGAGGGGGCTATAGGTCCAATGTTGTCCAATTATCGATTTTTATTCTCTAGCTCTTACCGTCAGAAAAAATTTTAAACGCTCAAAAATCAGTTTTCAATTGCAAGATTCATGTCTCGTGAGTGACTTGCACTCACTAATTTGCCCTGTGGATACACCATTCTGCTGCTGTAGGGCTAAGCATAAACATGCCTCCTCGACAGAAATTGTCTGATGTAAACAGAGGACGAGCCATTGCTTAGGTACAAGATGGTGTTTCACTCTGAGAAGTTGCTACACGTCTTCGAGTGTCCGTTTCTGTCATTTCACGGCTGATTCAGCGTGCCAACGCCACTGGTAGTGCCCAACAGCGACCCAGATCAGGTCGACCAAGAGCCACTAATGCAAGGGAAGACCGAATCATTCATAGACAGGCTCCGCAGTCGAGATTCGCTCCTGCAAATCGCATCCGGACACGGCTGAGAGCGGCAACTCGTGTTAACATTAGTTGTCAGACAGTACGAAGACGTCTTCATGAGTTTGGACTTAATGCACGTCGACCAGCAGTCCGCCAACGTCTCACCCCAGCACACAGGGCTGCTCGTCTTGCCTTTTGGCGACGCCAAGTAAGATGGACACGTCAACAGTGGGCAAACGTTCTCTTCAGCGACGAATCCCGGTTCTCTTTGCATCACAATGACGGCCGTATCAGGGTTTAGAGGCGACCCGGAGAGTGGCTCCTCGATGGAGCCGTCAGAGAAGTGATGCCTTTTGGAGGTGGTTCCGTGATGGTATGGGCTGCTTTCAGTCTGAACCACAGAACACTTCTGTTCCAAGTGCTAGGGAATCTCACTGCAATACGTTACCGAGATGAGATACTCCGTCCATTTGCACTACCTACTCTGCAGCAGATGGGGCCACATGCAGTGTACCAGGATGACAACGCCCGACCTCATAGAGCGTTGCGTGTCCAAAACTTCATGCAGCAGGCTGGCATCAACCGAATGGACTGGCCGGCCTGCAGTCCGGATTGAATCCCATAGAAAACCTCTGGGATGAGCTGCAACGTCGAGTCAGAGACAACCACACCCCTCCAGGAGATGCGCAGCAACTGTTTCAGATGCTGTAGGCAGAGTGGCAGGGGATGCTTCAGAGAGTGTTCACCAACCTCATGAACTCGATGAGGAGCCGGTGTACTGAGTGCCAGTACAATCGTGGTGGGCATATTCATTATTGAAATCATCTGAACAGTTTTGTTTTTGTTGCAGTCAGAATTTAAAATAACTTCGAAACCGCTTGACAATTTTGGGGATTTGGGATTTTAACCCCTACCAAACTCAATTAACTTTTCAAGCAAGTTAAAATGAAATAACTTCATTTTCTTTTTTGGTACTTGCTATACACATGTTGATTAAAATGTGTAACAAATTTAATTGCGCGTTGAAGTTTGCTTTCGAAGTTATACACCCTTTCTCAAATGTTCCTTAATTTTTGTTGACTAGTTTATATACGTCAAACCTCTGAGTCAGAGATGACACCTCCATGTATACAGGTACTTTTAGCTATTGTATAAGTGGGTTTTTTAAATTGTTGTTTTCCCTTGTTTTGGTTTGGTTGGTGTCTTCGGTTTTGTTATTGTTGTGTTCTCTTTCTTTCTTTTTTTTTTTTTTTTGGGGGGGGGGGTCTTTCCAAGTCCCGGAGCGGTTAATGACAGTTACTTTCGTCTGTCCGCGTTAAAAAATAATTTGCCTATCTTTTAATTTGCCACTGAGCACACGTAGCTATGCATGGCGCTCCTGTAAGCCAGTGATGGAACAAAACTATTTTAAAAATCTTAATCCAGTAGGCCTAATCTAAAAAAAATATGTATTTAGGCTCAAATTATTCACGGACCTTTAGGATCACTACTATTGGACCTTGTTTCATAGGTGCGCGTTGAAGTGTGGTAATGATGAAAATGGGTCAACTTTAAGGTGTTTTAAGTGTATGCTGTAAATCCCCTATCACCCCCCTCCCCATTTTTTAGGTTAACAGGTAAACATCAAAGGAAACGTGTTGAAACCTTCATTAGTGGGCTTTTAGCTACTATTTATTGTCATCCAACTTTTAGACTCATTTGAGACTAAACAGAGTGAGTTGAACAAGCAATAACAGTACTTTCATCATAATTGTCACTCCACAATATTACTCACTTCGTGGCCAGACGAAATGTTCTCGGAAAGAACAAGGAGGAAGTCATATTCTTGTCGCTTACCGGCACATTTGCAGTGTTGCTCTCAGTTTGAGTGAAAAGTGAGACAACATGAATAAGATATAGTAGTTTACTCTATAACTCGTGATTGCAATTTGGCAATTTCACAAGTAGGATAAATCATGATCTCCATATCTATGTATAACTCATGTAATAAACTTTCTTTATGCTCATTTCGGTTATCGCCACCTTTGCTAATGGTTTAACGTAAGATACCGCCCTATTAACACCCCCCCCCCCAAAAAAAAAAGAAAAAGAAAAAGTTATATATATCGTTGACCAGCTGCTCAGATGTAAGCCTAACATTTTAAATACGAAACAAATTGTTAATCTGAAGCATTAGTTTCATGTGCTCAAGAAATGTTTTGTCAAAATTCAAATATAAAATTTTGAATAAGACAGGAAAGTAACATAAATAAGGTGCAACTTGTTAAATATAATAAAATCGTTTTTTTCCCTTGCTTTCTGCACACAGAACATTTGAATAGCTTACCAACTATATATATGGACTATGTATAAATGTATATTTATATATATACATATATATATATATATATATATACATGTGTGTGTGTGTGTGTGTGTGTGTGTGTGTGTGTGTGTGTGTGTGTGTGTGTGTGTGTGTGCATGTATATATATATATATGGACAGTTTATACTTCATAAAGACAGACAAAACTGGTCGTGGTGCATCCATTGAAAACCTTGGTTCTCCTTTGCAGTGAGCATTTTGGCCTCACGTGTTATTTTGTTTCATGGTCCAGCCATAAAGTCATCGGTTGTCTGTTCCAGTTACTCGCCTCTCTCTCTCTCTCTCTCTCTCTCTCTCTCTCTCTCTCTCTCTCTCTCTCTCTCTCTCTCCCTCTCTCTCTCTCTCTCTCTCTCTCTCTCTCTCTCTCTCTCCCTCTCTCCCTCTCTGTTTGTGTGTGTGTGTGTGTGTGTGTGTGTGTGTGTGTGTGTGTGTGTGTGTGTGTTTGTAAGTGTGTCTCTGTATGTGAAGGTACACATAAACACAAACGCACACAAATATGTATAATATACTTATACAAATTAAATTAATGTATCCAGAACTTCCCCCAATGTGTCCTTTGTGTGACTATGCATATGAGACAGTGGAACATCACCTTTTCCACTGTACAGCCCTAAATGACATCAGAGCTACCCTTCTCCCTCCGAGACCTAACTTCGACAACACACTCTACGGAACATTACAGCAACTGCAGCTAACCTGCACTTATCACTACATGGCATTGGACAGAAGGGCGAGAGCCCAGATGTTGCTGGATCGATAACAACAACAACAACAACAACAACAACAACAACAACATACAAATGTATTTTTTCGTTTATTTATTTATTTATTTATTTATTTATTTATTTATTTATTTATTTATTTATTTATTTACTATTTATTAATTTTTGTTTATTTGTTTGTTTGTTAATTTTTTACTTGTTTCTTTGTTTACTTTAAAAAATGTATTTGCTAACGTATTCATTAATTAATTATTTATATGAAAATGTTTATCAGCCCCAGAAAATACAAACCATATCTGTTAAGTTATCAACACGCTAGTAAACAGTTTGTGACTGTCTCAGCTTCAGCCTACCTTAACACAGCTCAGAAATGGACACCCAGGGAAGACTGCGTATCCAAATACGTGTAGTTACGAAACGCACAGCCACTTTTATAAGAGGGGTACTCTTATATAACGAGCTAACATGAAATCTCTCGTCGCCAGGCAGCGAACATTGGTAAGTTAAATCATGATGTTATTCCTTTACAGCATGACACAGATCTCTGCAGGTCCTGAGATAAAGAGAGTTATCTGACTTATAGCGCTTATTGTAGGTCGTTTTGAGGTAACCCGTGTCTCCATCCTCAAGTTTAAAGGTTGATTTCTAAAGCGACAGAACAAAGTCTGAAGTTCAATCCATGTCAATAGTTGTTTTCTGTGACCTTGACCTTCAATGATTTATTTATAGAGGCACCAGCCATCCATGTCCAGGTGCTGTTTTAGCCTCTTTTTCCTGTATGCGGATTAATATCTTTTTTGCCAATTTATGGTTCCGCTTCTGTGTACCCCATATCTATGGTTCTCAACCTGGAAATCGCCTATAATTCGCTGTAATTGTCCCCCCCCCCCCTTATAGTGTCATCATTTATGTTACCGTCTATTTTTATCGATAACACAATTATGGATTAAGGGCGGTATTAATGATAATTTAAAAAAACCCCCATAAAAATAATACATAAATAAATAAATAAATACATTAATAATATATAAATAAATAAATAATGCTAATGATTATCATAATACAAATATTGATCATGAGAAGAAGAAGAAGAAGAAGAAGAAGAAGAAGAAGAAGAAGAAGAAGAAGAAGAAAAAGAAGAAGAAGAAGAAGAAGAAAAAGAAGAAGAAGAAGAAGAAAAAGAAGAAGAAGAAGAAGAAGAAGAAGAAGAAACAACACGGCCATAACATCAATATCAAAAACAATAATACTAACAATAAGATTGATTTGAGTAAAATAATGAAATAATATTAAAATAATAAATGAAGTAATATTATTATAAATCAAAATTTCTAAAAGGACACTACTTGGAATCCGCCGATTGTGTGGGATCAGATACCTTGTATGAATACGTTAAATTAGATAATTCAATCCATACAATTTGAGGTTATATATTCAGATCACCATCCTTTTTTTTCAAGAGGAAAGCAGATGTCTATTTTCATTTTGTTTGGTCATTCAATTGAGTTACATCTATAAGACCAATCGCCTCGTGGTTTAAGGAGTGGAAATATGATGTATAAACTCAACTATTGCATTTTTTTCTTTTTGTAGACGGTCTCATCCTTTTACCGACATCCTCTTGTGTAAGGAGTGGAAAAACAGATGTAGAGACCCATGTTTTAAATCACTTCCAACTTGTAAAGTGGCTTGTTTCTTGTTTTGTTTTTTTCGACATCATTTCCTCCATACTTGAATGAAATGGATTGAGATATATTCATATATTTCATTCGGATAGAGAGATAGAGGGAGGGGTAATGTAAAATTATATTGCTTTTATATATTAAAGGTAATATTTAAAGATAACATGACGCAGAAACGACCGACGAGTAGTTTACTTTTTCGTGTCTTTAATATAATATTATACAATGTATTGGGTAAAGGAGCCACTGGTCAGAGTGTGTTTTGTAAAAGGCAAGCTCCTCGCCATTGCATGTGAAAGGCGAGACCTCCATTTTTATCGAATATCCCATCTCGGCATAATTAATTACAACCAGTCAGAAGCCGCTAAGTATCTATGCTGAGGACGCGTGTACGCAAAACCAAATTTAGGAACTTTCCAAATTGTCATCAAAGGGATGGAAATCTGGCCTATATGTTGTTTGTGAGGTTCTTGAAATTGACCTGGCCTCTTTTGCTTGCTTTGTGCAGAGCAGACGTGTAGCAGTCGTAGTTAATCATTCCCTTATCTTGTCTGAGGTAAACATGCCGGGCCGGGGTCCACTGAAATGCCTGCAGTGTGCAATTCAAAGACCTTGTTAGCAGTACATGGCGGGTTTCCATAAACCAAATAGAAGTTGTGGAACCCTCTGTAGGCTATCATTTTAATTAAAATATAAAGCTATAATATACTTATTCAGTACTGGTGTGTGTAACCAAGTAGTTCGGTTGCCAAAGTTGTAAACTGGAAAACCATCAACTTTCCTTTGTGAATGTGTAGTATTGTGATCGGTTTGGGAGAGAAAGAGAGAGAGAGAGAGAGAGAGAGAGAGAGAGAGAGAGAGAGAGAGAGAGAGAGAGAGAGAGAGAGAAAAGGAGAGAGAGAGAGAAAGGGAGAGAGAGAAAAGACAGACAGACAGACAGACAGACAGACAGACAGACAAACAGACAGACAGACAGACAGACAGACAGAGAAGGGATGTGAGGGATGGGGTCAGAGACGCAGGTAAACAGTGAAGAGAAAAAAATGAAAAGTGTAAAGAAGAAAGGGCAGAGAAGGAAGGAAGGAATTACATTTTGAGGAGGTGGCAAAGAAGCAAAGAAAGTGAAAGACACTTTGGCAGCTCGAGCATGATTAAAAACTTTCTGTAACAGTTGATTCACGTGGACTTGCTTATTCGAAAAATAGTGAATGGCCAAGCTGAAAAGTCCCTCAAAAATGCAGACGCACCATGATAAGCTTTAATTATGTTTACACAATCGAGCTAGGATATCATTATCAAGAACATTTCCAGGGTTTTGGGTTCAACACATCTACAATTCGAACAAACAATACTATTGAAAATAACTGAGATTTTGAAGAAAATCAAAAAGAAGTAATTGTGACAGTATAATTGTCAGGTTGACATCCATCGATGACGTTTTAAGAAATTTTGTTTCGATTTTTTAAGAAGCGAGGGCAAGGTTGAATTGGTGACACCAAACCTCTTTCAAACGTCCGTCTTAGTGCAAAACTGCTTGTCAATCGCTGCTGAAATGTAATCCTCATTTTCTAATTGCAGATAAATAAGTTTTCTCCTATCTGCAATTATGAAAAGTACCCTGTATCGATACAAAGGTAGAAAGCTTGTAAATATGTGCGCCTTGTTCTGTGTCGAAGCATACGAAATGAAACTAATGATGTTAATGCGTCTTATGACTAAAATGCTCCTATACTCTTACGTCATAATAACAAAACACAGCCGATGAAAGTCTGTAAATGATTTGCCTTGTCGACAGGCCGCAGGACTCAATGGTGGCTACTGGATCAGGGAAATGAAACAATATGAATGATCTTATCTTACGTCAAGACACGATAATGACTGTGTAACCAACATCGGTTTGGGCACATCACCCACCCTTCTCGTGTTATCACTTCCCGATTCATACCTTCATAACATTGAAACACAGACGCGCACACGCAAACATACACACACACACAAACAAACACGCACACACACACACACACACACACACACACACACACAAATATACAATATACACCATACGGCCAATGGCAGCGCCCTACTATCTGTCTTCGATCACATCCCACCACCAAGAACCTACTTGTATCCCCACATGACTAGATTTGAGGACACCGCCCAGCAGCTACTCCGCTGCCTTATAATTACAACGTTCTATCTGCGTATTACTTAGTTTTTAGAAATTTGACGTTTAAAAAGTTTGAGTTTCACAACATGTCAAGCTTTTTGGAATACAGTTCTTTAATTATCTAGATAACGACTGCGAACAATCTTACGATTTGAACAGATCAGATAGGACATTCGGTTTCTGACCTCAAGGTCTTTATAATCCAAAACGGCCAAAAATGTCAGATATAACTTTGTAATTATGAGGTAGCGACCCGTACCCTCACATGACTAGATCTAAGGATGCTTTAGGGCCTTACGCAGACATCAGATGATGTACGACGCTTGGTCTCGACACCAGCAGTGTGGATATTGTATATATGGCTCTTTTCGTCTATGCAGACGGTCAATTTAGCTTAAGATGGTCTCAAGGTTGTCTTCATGCAGCTTCTTACACGGCTAATTCTTCATATGTTTGAAGCGCAGATCTGTCGCAGTGCTTGCATGTCAGTGACTTAGATCGAAGCTATGTATTTTTGCTGTTTTTCTTTCGTTGTTGGCATTCTCAGCCTGGTTGTTTCTAAGGCTGCTCTCTAGCATTATACTTCTTTCCTATATCATTTTCCTCCATGTTTTCCTGTCCTCAGCTATTTCTTCCCAGATGCTAACATCTACTCCAAGCTTAGAAAAGCTATTTTTGCGGGTGTCTTTGTAACTCAGTTTTGGTCTTCCTCTTGGTCTCTTTCCCTGGGCAAGTTCTCCATAGAGAAGTTGCTTCGGAACCCGGTTGTCGTCCATTCACTTGACAAGGCCCAGCCATCTCAATCTTTTTAAACACAGGATAATTGTCATGCTCTGGAAAAGTATGGGTATAATAATATGCTAAAATGTTTTTCCAGAACATAATATTATGAAACTAGAAGTTTGTGAACTATTAGAAACATTTTTATCTCGTAACCTTGGGGATGTCTTTTTATTAGATTTCTTGGTTTCAAGTCTGAAAATCATGTAGCGTGCCAAAGATTAAACTCAGTGAAAATGACTTGCAATTCAGGAGTCTCTTAACGTTTGTTGCTAGTTTTCACTTTTAACCCCAGTTATAAAATGCAACAAAAACCTTTAAAGAAAATACTTTGTCCTCTCCAGCTTAAGGTCTACTGTCAGGATTTCTGTGACTTCCAACATAGTTCCAAGGTTCAAGCAGATAACGGCACTTGCCACATGGAATAAAAGACGAAAGGATACTCCCAACTAATTATGCTCATCGTACATTTCCTTTTACGCTTTTACCCCCTGAGGAACCTTCTATGCTCAGCAAAATACCTTTTTAATGATAAATATGTTTCCCGCCGCCTTTGACACTATAATTCATACCGTTTAGAAGTGGATTGCTAGGACTATGCCTGTTTGAACCATCTCACAAAAGAGTAAAATACATCGTCACAGCAAATAGAATGATAAGCTCGATAATTTAGAGTTCACAAGGAGAGAATCGAACAACAGAAAACCTAAATATTACACCACTGGTGCCGGAGTGTATGGGGCACTTGTGACTCACACATTGATGGTAATATAAGCAAATCTTGTAAAGCAAGCAAAGTAGGCCCCAGTGAAGTAAGACGTAACAATAGAAAAAAAAAGAAAGAAACAATATAGACACAAAACAAGAGAAAGAAATAAAACAGGTAAAACTAGAAAAGCATACTTAGAATTAAAAGGTTTAAGTAAGAGAAATAGAGTAAGCAAAATAAGTAAAGTAACGTAGATGCACCAAGGAAAGAAAGTATGAAGTATAAAGTGCAGAACGAGAAATAAGTAAAATGGTACGGTAACTTAAGCAGTAAGGTAAGCATAGCAAATAAAGAAAGAAATTAAAGTAAGTGCATGTGCAGCAGTCTATAAGTAAAGCTTGTAAAGTTAGTAAAATAAACAAAATACGTAAGGTAAGTAAAGTAGGTAACGTTTTTTTTTTTAATAGCAGAGAGTTTTACGGCGCTCGCAACTGCATACGGTCATATGAGCGCCGAGGTGTGGGTGTCAACAGAGAAGTCTTTACAGGGAATCAGACTTAGACTGCTCACCTCTCTAGCTTCAACAGCACAAGGTCTGCTTCAACTATCAAGGCACCCCAAAATAGCATGGCAGGTCACAAGAGAGTGAC